GATTTTGATGTGTGATTGTTCTTGGAGGGGGAAGGTAAACGAGGGAAGGGACAAAGAAACTCAACACAAATGCCATTGATGTCGGCTCCTCACCTTGTCAACTAGTGTATCCAACCAAATGAAGTCATCCTTGGGACTCCAGCTCGGTAGTCGAGAGACACCACCCGACGCCAAATTCGAAATTAGGGTACTCATTCCTCTTGAAAAAGTCATCGGTTAGCCTCCCCTCCCATTCTTTTATTCAGACCACGGTAGCGCAAACAACGCGCATCGCGGAAGTCGGTGTGCTGACATGCGTAACACTTGACCCAGCCATCGGAGCCTGGTGCGTGAAATAACGGTGCTGAGCAGTTCACTCCCACTTTCTCTACCAAATGCGCGTAGCAGAACACGCTCATTGCTCACGCGGTGTTATCACCAAACATAAACTAAACTGTGAAAGCAGCAATGGTCGACTGTAATAAGCCACTTTATGTCTGTCGATTTGATGGAACGGGTTTCGCAAACCTACAGGAGAGTTGAACGGACTACTGTGTTGTAAATTTTGCCCTTCAGGGTGAAAGTGATGTCGTGCCGTCGTCATTCGTGGCGGAGATTGTCAAAAGCGCCTCGGTCTTTTGCTATACGTTTTGTGATCTCATCTTCTATTCCACCGGCGCTAATTTAGCTGCTAAAGTCTCGAACTTCTGGATGGTTTCCAGGTGATCCCCATAAAGAGTCAGTGCATAACTGAGTCCTTGCCAATCTTGGAGGAGGACTTTGCATTTCGAGGTCGCAAAGCATAACCCGAAACGATTGACAACTAGTGTTGATTTGCCTGGTGCTCCTGGCGCGTTTGAAAGCTGTCATAATTTAGTGCAATGTAGTTTACGTACTCCAAGTCACGAATTCCGTCACCTGAGACTTTTCAAAGTAACGATTAGCTTTCCAGTCCAGCCTTTATTCAAACCTAGCGTCCTATGATTCGTTAATAAAATTCAGTCTGCAAACATCAGTGTTCTGACCACTCCATTTGATCTTAAGATAGGTAAGCTATCTTAAAACTGTACACTTAATACCGCTCTTACAGTAGTGCCTGTCGGTGTCCGAACGGTCTGCGTGCCTAGCTTGCAATCATAAGGTCACCGGTTCGAATCCGCGTAAGGGCGGGCGTCCCCGCGTATACTCAGCCCGCGCGTGGCTGGTGGTGGTCGCGCGGCAGTGAAGCGCCATTATTGCGCACAGCTGATGCATCGTTGTTATTAGGGCCTCTCCCCTCTCGACGAGACTGGACCTTAACGTCGTGCTGCGGTTTGCGTACCTGATCGACCCACTGAGCTATACTGGGTAGTGCCCCCGTGCCCCTTCAGAGCTACTCCTACCATACTGCTCACGGCTTAAAGGTCAGACAACCTCTGTCTCCTGGTCCACCAGGTTGCGGGTTGGGAATGGGATGGCATCCACTTCTGTAAAACCAAATCATTACCACCCCGCTGCCTTACATACTTACGTAGCCAATGGCTTTGGTTGAGAACCCTAATCTTTCTCCTGTTTAAGTCTGGACAACCTGACAGTATTTTGCTCATGCAATGCAACAAATTTCTGTGCAAATGCTTTTTTGATGCTCTGGCAATCGCGAAGGACAAATAAAGACGCCCTGTTTGTTGTATCTCCGGCCCGTAGTCTTACGAATCACAAGCCTACCTTGTAATCTGAGGGCGCGGGTTTGAGCCTGCATAGGGACCGGGCGACTCTGGCTATCTTTTTAGCCCACGTGCGACCGGTGGTGATTGCGTCGGTATTGTGTACCGCTGATACCTTTCTTTTCCTTCTTTGTTGAATTGAGCAGGGCGGATGTTATTTCACGCACGAGGCTCCGAGGGATGGGCCACTTGTTGCGTATGCCAGCCCACCGAATCCCGCGACGCGTTGTCTGCACCCCGGTGATGCGGATAGAGGAAGAAGAGGAAGGGTGGCCAAGCGATGACTTGGTCGAGAGGAATGAAGACCCTTACTTCTGAGCTGGCCTCAGTTGGAACCTCTCGGCTCCCTGGTTGGGGACCAAAGGACGATGAACACGTTTTGCTGGATACACTTGTTGATATGGCTAGAAGCCGACTCCAGTGTCGTTTGTGTTGTGAGTTTCTTTGTCCCTCCCCCTCTCGCTTAGATTCCCCCTCCATCCACGATTTCATTTATTAGACATAATTTCACCCCTTTTTTGCGGTCCAATAGCCGACTGTTAGCTCTTCGAAACGATGTCCTTCCGTTACTCATAACTCAGCCGGCGTTCTCCTGTTCCATTTTTCTATATTTTGTGTTGCGACACAACAGTTGGGGTGTTTTCCACCTGCAGCTAACGTGTATAATGATGACGATGATGCTGCAGGGTGGATTGGGGTTTGGATGCTACTGCCCAGGCCTCCTCGTCTTCCGATTCCCCCTTTTGCGCTTTTTTCTCCCTTATGGTCCTGCTCCAACTGCGCTTTTATCCACCCGGTTTTCAATCCTCAATTCTTGACCCTCCTCCATCTTGCTTCAATAAGTATTTGTCTTCAAAGTTGGGTTTGCAGTACCAATTGTGTGGTTGAAGTGCGAAACGCAATCTCTATTGAGACTTCGGGTCGCTTTGAAATGGACATCGGTTATTCCGATCACAAGGACCGTATTTGAAAATGGAGGTGTTTTCGTGTTGGGGTTCAGTGTAATAGGATGATGGTTAGAATACACGACGCGGGAGCATCTGCTTGCGGCACTATCCATTGTCACCGTACCAGTCACTTGATATCTAAGAGGCATGTGAATCTCTTGAAATCCAGAAGAAAACTCCCGACTGGCTCTGAGCACAATGTGACCAGACGGACTATTAGGGACGAACTAATGCGGAGCGTACGTGCAGACAAGAAGGACTGGTGGACCAGTAGGCTTCGAGAAATGGAGCGGTATGGACAGTATACAACTATCGCACGTTTTTTCCACAGATCTTCATCACTAGTCGCAAGAAACTAAGCGTCCACGAGACAATCACAAAGAGCGCAGGCGAACTGATTCTCAATGACTAGTGTCGCATGACTCGTTGGGCAGAGCACTTTCGGGATCAGTTCAGTTAGCGCCCTTCTTCCGAATCCTTTCCCACTCAGGAGGTGCAGGTTGAGCCACGACCGATTACTTAAGATTCCATCGAAGGCTGAGGTCCGAAACACGACCATATCCCTTAAATACATTTGAACTGCTGGCCCGGATAACGTCACTTCCGCACTATTTACGGATGGTAGTGAGGTCCTCCTTGATTGGTAGGAAGATGACCATCCCAGCTAACTGGAATGATTCGATTATAGTGGCAATATACAAGAAAGGTAGCCGCATCGACTGGGCTTACCACAGGGGCATTAGCCTAACACCCGTAGTGACAAATTACGGACCTTAATTCTCATTCGTCGCCTCACCACGGAACGGGAATTCTGGAGTAGGGAAGAGCAGGCAGGACGGGGTTGTGTAGATCATACGTTCACACTGCGGCCGGTGCTAGAGCAGCGTCACACGTACTGCAGACCGACCGTATCTGTGTTCATCGACTTCAGGAGTGCGTTTGACTCAGTCGATCCATGCATCCTGTTCGATATACTTGTGCGCGAAGATGCCCCCTTAAAATATGTGAATATTTTATGTGCCTAGTCAGGGTCCTATGGTGTTGTGGACTGCACCATGGAGTGTCCCCTTGCCATATCTCACGATGCAGGCGTTGTGGTGCTGCCTTGTTGAAATTTATTTGATCCTGATTATGCGGCCGATATTGTCTTGCTTTTTAACGATGTTAGGGTAGCTCAGTCAACCCTGGATTAGCTAGTGTGATCCCATCATTTGGAATGCGCTTCACACCTTCAAAGTGCAAGATGTTGTTGCAGGACCACCAGCCACCACTAGGCAAGGAACTCGACTTAGTTGATCACTTCACGTTTCATGATATCTGCATCAGCAACATTTGGCGCACGTCAGTTCACCTATTGCGAAAAGCAGAACTGCTTTCCTTTCGTCCGAAAGGCGTTCCCCTCGGTCTGATACCCTGCGTTTATTAGGCCACAGTGAGGGCCGCCCTACAGTATGGACGCGAGACTTGGCCCCTCTGCTCTGAGGACCTGCGGCGCCTTCAAGTATTTGATTATCCTTGTCTCCGAAGCTTTGCCGGTGTCGGATGGCACCAGCGTGTCCGCAAGGATGATGTGCGTAAGCGAGCACTAGGCTCGTTCTTTAGAACAACAGATAGCACTGAATAAGTTGCGTTGATTTAGACACGTACTATGTATGCCCGGTCACTGCCTATCGAGGAGGGCCATGTTTTGTGTGCGAGACGTAAGGTGACGCAAGGCTCGAGGTGGGAAAAAGTTTGCTTGGCAGCGGGAAGTGAAGTCACTGATTACGAAACTTGGTGCTGTTGTTCCCCATCTCGCCCTCCAGGCTGGAGTCCACGTGACCCGCCTTGTGTTTGGCTTGAAATGTTACAGGACATGGCTCGCAGTCTGCACCAGTGCGTGTTTGCTATCATCTCATAGTCGGACTACCTGTTTAAAGTGTGCTTGGTGCTGAGTTGTCTGCAAGGTAATGGCTGATTATGACACGCGGCACTGAAAGCCGCAAGGAAGCTGTCTCCCCGATGCCTCCTTATCATTGCACAATAGCCAACTGTTTGTGATGGTGTTATTGGAAAGGTGTAGTCGCCCTGATCATGAATGTTTGCTTAGGGCACTAAGGTTTTATGCTAGGTCCCTCTTCTTTCCGTGTTAATATTCTTCGTTCCTTAGGTCACTGTGATTGGACGGCAACGATGCACCATTCCAAATAGCTGATGTTACGCTGTTAATGATGATACTGCTTTGGCTAGCTTGGTATACTAATAAAACGAATAAAAGAACGTTGTTATTAAGCCCAAACATAATTCGAATAGTCTATACTAGCTCCGATATTTTCCGTATGCCACTTGGATATGATCTATATACCGATCGATCGAATAATTTTCTTTTACAGACTCGAAATCATCGTGCTCCGGATAAAAATTCAGTGTTCCAAGTAGAATGCATGATTCTCCGGCTTTTAATTCCAATGAAGTTATAACCGCCCAATTCGGACCACAGAGTAACAAAGTTGCGGCCCATTTCTGGAATCTGCAGATGAGTCACACTTCTATTGATCCTCAGGCTGATTCCAACGACGTACCTTTTGACTGGCATGTCTTATCTGAAGGGTCGGAAGGCAACATTAGGCCGCGAACTTTAGCGGTTGATCTCCCAAGCTCGGTCAAATTTGGACTGAGTTTAGACTCACCGCCGAACCCCATCAATAAGAATGTAATACCATGGTCTGGAAATGTTGATGTCATATCTCGATGTAATGGTAGTCCTTCGAAAATCAAGGATACGAAGTTGGACACACAGTGGTTAACATGCCTACCTCGCCCGATGCGACGCTGTTGGAACGAGCACGGTCTCATCTGCTCTGTCCCAGAAAACTCGGTTCCTTCACCTTTGAAAACTGAAGCCGATCAAGGTGTGATTCTGTCCTCATACTTTCAGGTAGCTAATCGTGGGCTTCTACAAAACCCAACCTAATAGGAACTGCAATCCGTTCTCATGAATGAACTCATTCTCTTCTGCCGGCAACTGAGTTGAATCATTTCTTGATGTAACATGAACTGGAGGAAGATTTAATACCAAGCACTATCACTATCATCATGATTTCAAACCAGTTATTAAAAATTCTACTGGCTGTTTATCTAAAACGAATTGGACATAGATGGTATGGCATGTAAACATATTTTCTAAGTCGTTATTCGAGGAGTACAGCAAGACATTTTTCTCATCTACTCTTTTTTATTTACCTGTTTGGTCCTACTGATATAGGCTTCTCTATATTTACCACGTATTATTACCTCATGTGGTTGTACCGCGAAGTTCGGATCGGACAATGATCCTTTCGATCCTAAAACCGTTTGTGTATCATCTCATCTGCAGTCAGGCTAAGACGGCCCCCTGTGTTAGTTTTCATGTTATATGCGAACAATGGTCAGACTGACTTTCGAATCTTGGTCAGCTGTCCTTCGAATCCCACGCTCTGTTATGAGACAACAGGAAGTAGCAAGTTTGCTAGCCACGCAGGAGTGTATAGTCCGATGCTGAAACAACTAAGTTTTCACTAATGATGGCGGACATCCGTCGGTTATAAAGAATGTACCAAGCACCCTTGGAGTGCGCCGTTCAAGTTTTCCCTGTGAGTTCTCCCTAAAACAGTAATTGCCCTCTATATGAATAAGACAAAACGTCTGGGGTACTAGAAATCGCGTGGCCCTTTGCATTAGGCGATATCTTGCGTATGGATGCACACACAGATGCAATCTGTTGCGCCATTCGAGAGAATTATTCTCTCTCCTTTTTGGATGTTGCTTGCTGCCAATTTTTCTTCCGAGTTGCAACTGTTCTTATTTAGAATATTTTTTACAGATGACACCAGCCGTGGAATGATGTGTGGTGGGAACCGGAAACTCTAAAATGTGTGCAATTCGGTTACGGTCCCGGTTTGCTTGTAGGCAAATCGTGATCCGCATTGGAGTTACACATCGGGCATCATAAACCTTGGATCAGTTGGTTAGCTTATTCGCTTATGATTCATTTTATGTACCTGTTGGGCTTGTTTTATGACACATAAGATTAGAAATGTGCCGATGGGATTCGTGCACCACCTTTAGAGCGATAGTAGAGTTTAGTCCGACTGAACCCGTTTCGTCTCTGGTGAGTTCGAGCCTTACTCATATGCCAAGCCATTATTTAACAGTCAATGTCTGCTAGTGGATTGAATGTCGATTGATGACTGAGAGTTTGTGTTTCATTTGCAAAGTAGACAGAGCATGACTGACTTTACGTGTAAATTATCGGAGACAACGAACGTGAATGGTTTTCATTCAGATTATTTTGCGAGCGACCACCCGCCCATCAAATTCCATTGGTTTCCAAGTTTTTATAACACCATGATCACTTCTTGTGGTCGTTGCAGTAATAACTTAATCAGTGAACGAGACCACTTCGTACTGAACCTTTAGTTTTTCTGATATGAGAGAGGGCACTGCGAAACGGCCCATGCACGCCGTTCCGCACGCAACGATCGGATTCAACTTTCCAGTCATCTCTCTATGCCTCATTGTCCTACAGTCAGCTGATCATCATGGATTTGCGAGCAACCAGACGCAATATCATTGAGCGACACCCACCGGGCCAGGTATGTTAAGAATATGGTTGTGTGTACGTAACAACCAACGGCGCCACATTAGCGATCTGCGTTAGCAGTACAGATATTGGACATAAGAACTATATCCCTCAAGGAACCCTTTAACTACTTCGTTATATTATGTTTGGAAATTTAGTTACCCCGTAAACTCGGACGTCATCATGATGGCAATAGGACTGGTTGAGGGGGTGTTATAATTGAGTCGCCACTGTTATGATTGAGGGAACGCCGCCTCTTGAGATAATTGCGTAATTGCCTGATAAGAGGGTCGCTGGCACGTCTACGATAATTGCTTGCTACGCTGACCACTCGAACGGAATTGCGCTGTCCTGATGACGCTGGCTTAGCCGGTGAGGCGGATAATTGAGCGAGCTTGCTAACGATCCTAGCCGCACGTGTTCGGATAGACGCCGAGCCTCGGACGGACGCAGACGAGAGGGGGGTTTACGATAGACGCGCTCTAATGGCTTAGACGCGAAGGCTGGCCAGCGCACACGCAATCACGCGATCCGACCGACTCCCAACTGAGGCGAAGAGAAAGAAAAGACAAGTGGTCCTCTGTAGGCTCTTTTACGACCGACAAAGGGCGATCCCAGTCAGTGCTATGGGTTATTAAGTTAGGAAAAACAGTCCCCACGCAGAGGTGGTAGATTGCAAATGAGCATTGTCAAAAGGTTCGCAGTTGGGACGCGCCTCGGAGTGGCTGAACACTGCTGCGTTGTGGGGAGAAATTGGACTCCGTTTCCCACAGCCATTATGCCGGAGTTACTGGCGCGTTTTTTGCGGGGATTTTTGACGGGCCCGCAACAGGGGGAAGGTAGGATGTTGTTGAAGTTACTCCACTTTACGGGAGTATGTTCTGATCATAGGAGCGGACCATGTTCTTAGGTACAGATGAGCGTAGCTATTACTCAAAGGTGTTTTCCTTAATTTGCACGATTGGTTCTCACGCACGACCGTTCGACTCATCTCACCTCAGGCAGGAGCAAGTCTCAAAAATTATTCTGTCTGTGCTCTGCTAGAACTGGAAAAATCGTAATCAACCGCTTACTCTATCATCCTTACGTTCATGTTTTAATGTGCAAATGTGCAATTATGCCTCATACTTAGGGACAAAAATAACGGTAACAAGGATAAGAAACTGGTGAATAGCGCACACACACACAATAATGCGTCTTCTCCGAGAGCACTCACGAATACGATCATCCAAGTATCACAGGCTCCTAGGATTGATAAACTTCTGCAACAAGTCTTTACCCATTAAATATATCAGCCGTCAGTTGTGCATTATTCTGACGAATGGGTTGACCCCATACACGATGTGCTAGTGTCTACATGCACACTTGGCCCACCGGTAGCTACTTTATACTGCAGAGATCTCCTTTCCCGTTTTTCAAGGTCCGCTGAACTCGAATGAGCGACATCAAATTCATAACAGTGAACCGGTGGTTGCTTATATCGTCGATGTGGAGCGCATGAATCTTTATGGGGGAAGTTAATCGACAAGAACAGAGAAGTTCTATTTCAGTGACGCCTTCAGTTTCTCCGCAACACCAGTAACACGTGGTTTCGTTTGTTCAGCTTGCGGGAACGGTCGTCAGCTCAAAGCCGCTCAGTTGTGGTAATCACCTTTTGTGTATACTCATCGCAGTCACACTGGATGATCTGTAATGTCGACCCAGAATGTCTGGTCTAAACTCATTAGACACCACTGTACGTCTCTCGCCAGGGAGCATTTGTGGTAATTTGAAGCTGCTACTTTGAGCGTCGTGATAGTAGTCCGAAACGAATGTATCACTCGCTCGCGTAGACTCCGTCGACATCCAACTAATTACTTTCCTAGCCACAGTTAACCTACCAATCGGTGAGAAATTTGCAGGGTTGAGGGTCTAGAATCACCTCCACAGTCATGAAATATTTTTGTAACCCCTAGCCTTACGGGGGTACTTAAAACAGTGATGGGACACATTTATTGTTCTCATTTGCTGACCAACACAGAGTGTACACGGGGACGATTAACAACTATGGGCGGCTGTGTACACCGTGGATAGGTCGGTTATACACAATAGGTGAGGACCACTCATTTAGTCGTTTGGATCATGTAACAGTCGATCGATGCGTTAAACCAAGCCCCAGTCTCCGTGGAATACCGAATCAGTTGACTCATTGTGCTTCTTAGAGCGTGCTCTATCTGTTAGATTTACTGCGCGACGCATTCACATCTAGTTTAGACGTTCTCCCGGGCTCTAGAATAGCGGAACGTGCTCATTCTGTCGCGTTAAAGGCTATCCCAATTTCATGCCGCGAATCTAACTGAGCAGTCGCCATCATCCCCATCAATCACGCAGAACGAATAGTTGTGTGCTAAGGCAATAATATACTTTCTAGAGGCACTAAACTACTGAATACGCTTGTTTGTTTTGTGTAAACCAGCCAGCTCTGTAACAAATGCACGTGCGCCGCTGTGGTACATGGGCGACATCCGCACTCATCCCCAATTGTGTAGATTCGTTGTTGCAGACTTGTTGACTCCTGACGACATCATGTGCTTCGATAACACGCGCTTTTCCCAGCGAATTCTGATCTCTTGCGGCCTACAGCCTGTCGAATCCCTGCTGGCTTTTTTGCTGCTCGTCCAGTAAACTGCGTTCCCCAACGCACAATCGTTTTAGTCTATCAGATTTTAGCCTACTTGGCTTTCGAGGCGGTGAAAACCGCAAGAAAGCCACACTACCAACGGCACTGTACTTTCGCATGATAGCCAGAGATTTGTGTCCGTCTGTTGTTAACAAGGCTCAGGTTCCTTTATCTTGACTGTTTAGGTTTCAAATTATCCTTCATTCCATTGGTCACTATGGCTGCACGGCAACGAGGGATCAGCCCACCTTACTGATGTGCTGCTGTTGACGTTTAGAAGCATTTGATATGAGAAACCGTTCCCTATATAGTAGATGCGCTATTGCTATCGTTTTTCTTCGAAGAAAGTCATTGAAACTGGAAACTATTTTCGACTATTGTCATACTAACAGACCGACAGCTCAACTCACATTATGTGTCTTTATGAGACAATATTTAGTTTTCACGTTATTGGCTACATCAACCATTCTATTCTTTTTTTATCTGATGAAGGGACTTGCCCTAGCCTCTCCTGGTTCGACTTTCGCGGATAACCTGGAGGACCAGTTTCGTAAGATTGCAGAGCGATGTTCTCGTCCCACAGGAATACAAGTGGTTGTAGATGCAGAAAACGTCTTCTCAGGAATAGCCTCCAGATTCCTAGATCATATTTCAGATGAATTCCCAAAGCGCCCTGTATTGTGCGTGGCCGTTTGTGATTCAGCAACAACCTCCAGACTGGACCCAAAACGTCAGCGCATCGCCAACGCCAATCATCTGGCTCTGCTGACCCAATTGGAACCATCCGAAGATTCCTTTTCCCGAGGCGCTTGGCTCCCTCTGAGCATCTCGCCCCTCAAGTGTACAGAAAAGCCATGCCGCACCACCAGTGTTATTGCCGCAGCATGGGATGCAACGACTTCGTGGATGAAAGCGGATGAGAGATTCGGTGGAGTCAGTTTAGACCACTTCATCACTTCCAGCCAGCTTTCCCATGGCAGACGGGTGCGTTCGATTGTGCATACCTCTCCTACCTATAACAATGTTATATCGCTCATCTACCGTAATTCGGTTCGGACGTCGGACTGGCGGCCAGTTTATTTGCTATGTATGATTAAAAGCATGTGCTACTAAACACATATTTACTTTTCTCACAGATGTTGTCCGCGAGCGTTGGATACTCCGTGCCCGGTGAAAACCATCAAAAGATGACCTGGAGTCATCTGAATCCGCATCGTCTCGCTTCATCCTGCGAGTTATCGTCATCAGAATCATGTTTCTGGAGGCAAATTATCTCACGTGGCGTTACTATTGACCAGATTGGGGACGGCGCATCGAGGCCGAACAGTATAGGAAACATCAGTGCACCCGACAGTCTTGTGTTTATACGCGAAAAGTGTCCAGCCATGAAGCCGGGGGCCCACACAGAGCTTATCTCTTCTCTACAAATCTACTCGTTGGACACCTCCTTTGGGAAACGTTACGCAAATCCGTGGTGCCATCAGCCACCCTCTATCCGAATGATTAGCGTTCTCAACGTGCCAGGGGATAATTCAGCCGAAGCACTCGGTCTGAAAAAGATCGTTAATAAAGCACGGTCATCTTCCTCGGTCCCATCGGACGATGTCGAACGTGACGTGTGGTACGAATATTTGGAGCAGGCTCAGAAACGTTTGGTGAACAGCTACTCAGGCAATGAAGTTGGTTAATACACGATGGTTTTAAGATTTTAATGTGCTTTTTGACTGTTTCTCTGGTCTCAGATTCCATGATAAGGAGCGACTGGCTTTAAACGCATATGAGAACGTTTGATGTAGTGCTCAATTAGTCGAAGCTCGTCGAGAGTTAAATTACAATCTGGGGTCCGTCGAAGCCCAGTGTACCGCTTGGAATAGCAAACTACTCCAATGCTTCATGACGTATTTATCTTCGAGTCTAAGGTGTTCTCAAACCGAATTCAACGTTTATTTCGGAAGTTGTGACGACTCAACATCTTGAAACAGCAAAACATTAACAGCCTCGAGCTGTCCCATATAGTGCAAGCACATAGTCACCAAATTGGAGTTCTTTACGAAAATCACACTGGGTGGGTGTATATCAGCGAAAATCATGAAATTATATTGGTGACCGGGTGTCATATAATCGTGGGCCTTAATAACCCAAGAATACGAAATATACACAAATAGGGAAATGAAGACTAGCGCGCAACCGTCCATGGGGTTTAGGAAAAGTGCGGTCCAATACACCGGGCGCATGGATCAAAAACGACGACTTGTCCACTGGGCTGAACGGAAAGGTAGGGCTGTATCCGCAAGACAGGTTTCTCGTGGGTTGCACCACATCACTTCATTCATAGACTTGCATCATCCCCCTGTAACCTGAGTAGATTATCACAATAGATCGGCCTTTGAAAAACTCGAAATCTGTGATAAACTAAAGGGAGTTATTTGTTTTAGATCGGTTGTCACGCGCTTGTATTCGCCTCAGATTGACTATGAAATACTGGAATTAGAAATGGGCTTACTCCTATCACGACTGGTCGCAGGACAAGAACTCAGCTCAACTTCTCAACTGTGATCCGTGCATCGAAATGCGGTGGTCCAGTTACTTCCACTCACATCAGCGAACTGATAATAATAATAATTGAGGAAAATAGGCGAGAAATAAAGTTTCTAGACAGAACACTTCGGGATCAGAAATAAGATAAGGAATGCCAGAGCAACACTGACTTCGCGACAGCACCATATTCAATAGGTTGGTATTTGACTGGCAATGTGGCCGATCCTGAAGTCTCCTATCGGATGGCTAATGAATATGTGTCTATCATACAATCGCAAACAAACATCGACAATGCGCCGACGCTTCACTGCCACGCGACCATCACCAGTCGCGAGTGGGCTAAGGATACTACAAGGACGCCACCCGCTAGCCCATATCCTTCCCTCTCGCTCCTAACGATTGTCAAACGGATGGAACATACTTTGTTTTACATTCTCGATAAAAATGATGCAGCCAAATAGCAATGTGATGGACCAAGCTTGCAACAGTCCATCTCTTCGGCTCATGCACCAAACATTTGAGCATTCACATCGGGGGCATGGAAACGGTGGTCCTATCCTATCCTATCGAAAGAAGTGTTTCTGCGTTATGAGCTGGTTATCTAAGGACACTAGTCTCTGGAACTTATAGATGCTCGCCGGCATATTCCGGCTGGAAGCGAACACAATGAAACTCGCAAAGTGCTCCGGGCAAAACTTCGTGCTAGCCTGAAGAGAGACCGCGAATCCTGGTGGTCTCATCGTACATCAGAGATGGAAATGGCCGCTGCCCTTGGTAACCATCGTTAAGTTATTCCGTCTGATACGGGAAACGGGCAGCATGAGACCTGGTGTTAGTGAAACTATACGTGACGAGAGTGGACAGCCTATCCACAACTTATCAAAACGCATAGAGCATTGGGCTGAGCACTTTAAAAGGCAATTTAATCGGTCGGAATGGTTAGATTTCTCGCCGGCCACTGATCGCCCCGCTCCCTGGGCTGTCCCTTTGGATCCACCCTCTCGCTCAGAAGTCGAACATGAGATCGAACTGTTGAAGTTAAACAAAGCCGCGGGACCTGATGACCTTCCTCCAGCCCTCTTCAAATTCGGGGGACCTGCTCTTGTGGATGATTTACACGAGTTACTAGTGAAATTGTGGGAGCAGGAAACTGTCCCAACCGATTGGAGCCGCTCCATCATAGTCCCAATTTTCAAAGGAGGCTCACGATCGGAATGCGGCAGCCATAGAGGAATTAGTCTGATTTCGATTGCCTCTAAATTGCTTGCCTCTGTCATCCTTCACCGACTGACTGGCACTTGTGAACGCCAGGTTCGTGAAGAGCAAGCTGGATTTCGTCGAGGTCGTGGCTGCATTGACCACATCTTCACCTTGCGTCAGTTGTTGGAGCACCGTCACATATATTGGCGGCCCACCGTAGTCGTGTTCCTCGATATCAAAGGTGCATTCCATTCTGTGAATAGACGTGCACTTTGGGACTGTCTACTCAGGAAAGGTGTATCTGAGAAATATGTAAATATTATCCGAGCATTATATGCGCGTAGCTCGGGCAGAGTGAGGGCTTACGGCAATTTGTCGTCACCCTTTGATATCTCTAGCGGTGTGAGACAAGGATGCTCGCTGTCACCTTTCCTCTTCAACTTTTCTATTGACGAAGTCATGGAAATCGCGTTCACAGGACACCACTAAGAAAGTGTGAATCTGCTCCCAGGAGAACGATTTTTTGACTTAGAGTATGCTGATGATATTGCCCTCATCTATGACAGCTCCCAGACGTGCCAAGCGGCACTGGACAGATTAGCACCGGCAATCCGTCAGTTTGGGCTTTGCTTCGCACCCTCAAAGTGCAAAGCGTTCCTCCAAGCTTGGTCTGGACCGCCTCCTACGCTGACCCTTGGTGGGGATCAGCTAGAAGTCGTTCAGAGATTCAACTACCTGGGAAGTTGTATCAGCGCCCGTGGGATTGAAGATGAGATCACGAATCGTATAGCAAAAGCTCGGGGCGCTTTTGCTAACCTTCGCCACTTATGGCGCCGGCGCGACATCACTCCTACCCTGAAGGGCAGAGTGTACAATGCAGCGGTACGTTCGACCTTACTGTACGGTTGTGAAACCTGGCCGCTTAAAGCAGCTGACCTCAAGAGGCTAGTTACGTTCGACCACCGGTGCCTTCGTAATTTAGCTCACATCTGGTGGGAACACCGCGTGAGTAACGAGCGTGTTCGACGCCTCGTTTACGGCACAGGAAAAGGAACTGAACCGCTCAGCGCCGTTATTTTACGCATCAGGCTCCGATGGCTCGGCCACGTGTTACGCATGCCAGCCCACTGACTCCCGCAACGTGTGTTGTTTGCGCGCCGGGGGTGTGGATGGAAGAAGAGGAGGGGTGGCCAAGCGATGACTTGGTCGAGAGGAATGAAGGCCCTCACTTCTGAGCTGGCCTCGGTTGGAGCGTCTCGGCTCCCTGGTTGGGGTTCGAAAGACGATGAACACGTTTGTTTGGACACACTTGCTGATATGGCTAGGAGCCGACCTCAGTGGCGTTCGTGCTGTGAGTTTCTTTGTCCCACCCCATCCCTCTTAGCCTCCCCCTCCAACCGCGATCTCATTATTTAGCCTTATAAAATTTTGCATAGTAATTTTTCTGGTGCACAGCAGCCGGCTGGTAGCTTACCGGAACGATGCCAATCCGTTACCGGTAGCTCAGCCGGCTCGCACCAGTTGCTTTTTTTTCTCTTTTTCTATGTATTGCGGCACAGTAGCTGAGGTGTTCCCCACTTCCGGCTAACGTGTAGTATGATGATGATGATATCTAAGGACACTCGCTTCAGTCGGTAAACTTATGGATCGACGCTGCTAGTAGTCTTCACAAAGCGTGGTAGATATGGTGTGGCAGGACCGTAGTGATCACTGCGCAACACTAGGGAATCACACCAGGGTATCTATCGTTTACAATATTGTAAGTTTGTTTTCATAATTTTGACACAGATACCGCTCCTTACTTCGCCTAATTAACTTGGCACCCAAGACAACGGGATCACGTATATGCGCAGCTGCCATCCGTCTGCGCTGAGAAAACGAGCGCCGCAACGTTAAGAGGATGGCCGGTGAGCACGCTATTTGGTTCGCGGCTTTTCGTCCTCCGCAATGCAAACGGGAGAGCGCGTCGTCGTTTTTTAAAAGCGTTAGTGTAGGAGCAAAATGAAATGAGCTGGAACGGCGCTCCGTGTTCGAGACACTCAAAAGGAAAAAGTTTGTCGGCAGTCAAGTCGATTGTAGCGCATTGGTATGTTTGACCTGGTGGCCTCTCAGTTTCTTATTGTTGTTCAGTTGCAACAGATCGCGACAGGCTTAATTGGAGTTCGACATTATTAGATACACCATGATGAGATGTCCTCGCACACGCTGATATTCGCTGCTGTACAATCCAATGAATTACAATCTGCCTTGGAATGGAGGTGAAACAAGCCCTTAACAATTTTGGTCGCTCTACATTGCGGAGCTTCCTGCACATCAACGTGTTTTCGTCAATGGCGTGCTTGGATCGCGTATTCCACATAGGGCCTCAAGTAGTCATTCAATATTTGCGGAAAGATATATGGCTCGAACGCCCTACGTACAAGGCCGAGGTGCTGACTTGCTCTTCTCGATGCCTTTTCGGCCTGTTTCGAGCAGCCATGGTCATCCTGCACAATTACTCCGAGATCGCTTTCCTGGGAAGTACATTGTAACTGCTATTCTCCCAGTCTATATTCATGGGTGCGGTAATGGCGTCTGCTCAGAACTTTACATTTCGCCAAGGTAGACTGGGGCCAGTCCTCAGATGCCTAAACATAGGCCCTGTCGGGGTCTCTCTGCAGTGCCGTGTGATCGTTCACTGTCTCGATGTTAAGCCATACCTTGATAGCGTCCACAAACAAGAAATTCGACTGGAGTACGCGAGCAAGGTTGTTGATGGAAGCTATGAATAAACATAGTCCCATTACCGACCCTTGGGTCACAGAACACAGACTTTAACTGAGTCGGAAATAGCGTTGCGAACTCTCACACTCAGCTGACATTGAATATGATTATCCAAACCAAAACAGGGTAACGTATTCCATAACTTCGAAGTTTGTGAAGAAAAATGCAGCAGTCCATTCGGTCCGACGCTTTTGAGACGTTCAGGTATACG